AGAAGCAGTAAGGCATTTCATAAACCAGTTATAGATAAGACATCATAGAACAACATTATATCATCTACAGATAAATGAAAAAATGAAACACTTGAATAAAATCTTAAGTAACATGCTGATAAAATATCTAGTGAGTAAGCCTATGAGACTATGAAATGAATATCTCAGACAGGTGCTATTAACCACATAGATTCAATAGTATGCAGTCTTCAAGTGTTCATCATTCTACCTGTTGTATGAATTGCATCCGCGCATTTCAGAGAATGCTTCAGAAAAGGTGGAAGAGAGAACAGCAGTTACAGATACAGCAGAAACAGCAGTTGCAGACACAGCAGTTGTAGACACAGAATCAAGATTGAAAGAGATCAGCCACACATGTGTAAAAGCTAACAAGTTACTCCTGAACTGAGCAATTCAATCAAAAAGAATACAAGACTCACTTGTTAAGAAATCAAGTCTCAAGATAGAAATATAAGTTCTCATACACAATGAGAGTTCTGAGAAGTTTCAATCTAGATGATTTAAGTTATATAAGATACTCAAATCACATTCTCTGAGAATGTATGCATTGAAAGAATCAGAGAAACAGATCTTACATAACTTAATCAATGATTCATAACTTATGAAAGTAAAGATGCAAGATCTGAGCAGATTATGATTATTCACAGCACTATCATCAGTGTTGAAAAAGAAGAAACTTATAATTAAAAAGCCTCATGAAGTAAGAGAAATCATAGACACTTATAAATCAGATGATCTCACTTATTCTGATCTTTTTATAATTATAAGAAAAGAATGAGAAGTAATGAAGAAATCAGATAAATATCACACTTCAATAAGTGATAAGACTGTAACTGATCATACAATAATATGTCACAGACAGTGAGTATAATATGATAAAGAGCAGTTTTAAAGTAACAGACTTACATGTGAATCAGATCACAGAAGAAAAAGGAATTCAGAGTTGAATTCAACTGTTTATATCAGTTCAATCACAGAGATCACAGAGAATAAACTATCTGAAACATCTGTGAACATGTAAGATTAAGTCATCTCAATCTCTGAGAACACTCAGAGATCAGATGAGATTAGTTTCAATGAGTCATTCACTGTAGTGATCTGAGCGGGCGAAGAGAGACAGTATAATGTATGAGACAGAATCACAAAGATAAAAGCTGCTGAATCTAGTTATTAAACACTGTATCATATAGAGATCACATAAGAGTAGTGACTAGCAGATAAAGAAAAAGTGTAAGAAAAAGAAAAGAGATAATGAATTGATCATCAACTGTAAGAATTGACTGTAAAAAGATAAATATTATCATACACACTTCATTCATTTTCATACATCACATATTTAATCTATTTCCAACACCACACCACCTGAAAAACATCAAAAACAAAGGAAATCTTAAAACTTGAGGTCTGCAAGAGATTCAAGGGCTGCAAGCTGCTCTTATAACAATATTATACACATCTCTGATTTCTCTATCACTCTGCATACAACATTAATGTCATTTATCACAAGATTGACTGAAATGCTAATATAGGAATGTGTACATGTATGCATAGAGAAATTGAAGAAGAGCATGGAACTCACAGAACCAGAAGACAGAAGAAATAGAAGAGAGAGGCACAGAACCGGACAAATGATGAGAGTCACTCAGAGTCAAACACTTACAACTCAGTGTATGCACAACCTTTCTCACAGAAGAGAGAAAGAGAGAGAAAGTGACAGAAGAAGCTTGAAGATGAGAGAGAATAGTCTCAGCAGTGTTATCATCTTCAATCAGAATGATCTCTGATGCTGAAGCAACTAAGAATCATTGTTAGTATATGAAAATTATAAAAGCAGAGATAATAATTATTGAATGAACACTCACTGACCTTAGAATTATACATGCAATTACAACACACATGAGACTTCTCAGAAAGAGAGAGAGAGATACAGAGAAATGCAGAAAGTAGAACACAGCATGTGAACAGCTCATTCTCACAATAACACTTCAGACAAGGTGTATAAGTCTCACATCTGTGAGTGTAAAAGAGTACAACATCTATGTTCTTGTTTCTGAAAACACAGATATCTTTCACCTGCACTATGAAGTTGAATAACAGATATCACAGAATAGACTGATACAGATCTATCATTCTGAAGAAATTCATCAGAGTAGATGTTTCTGTGATATTGAACTTTACAGTTATGAAAAGCTTCTTGATGTCTGTGAACACTATGACTTTATGCACAGTAAAACTCATAATAATTTTTCCTAAGAATAGAAAAATCAGTGTTAGAAAGAAAAGATGAAAAAGAAAAAGACTTACAATCTCAATACTGTTGAGAGAGAGAGTGATTCTCTGAAATGAATAGACAATTATCTCATCATAAATATTTAAAACAAACATAATAATCAGTGTTCACAATCAAACTTCAGATAGTCATGTTATATACTGTCTTTATACAATAAATCATTCTAGAGATTAGTAAGAAGAGTGAGAGTATACACACTGAGAAACATGATTCACTGAGTCTATACAACATCTTCTTGAAATGGAGAGAGCTAGTAATGAAGGCAGAGGCAGTAAAATCAGAAGTAGCAGCAGTAGAAGTCGCAGGAACAGAAATAGCAGAAGTAGGAGAATCAGACACAGAGGCAAGTGTAGAAGATTGAGAAGTAGTAGAAGAGATAAGAGAGAATATAGAAGACTCAGTCACATATAACATGAGTAATTTCTTCATTATCATGTTCTTCAGGTTCTTGATCAATGATTTAATATTGAGTTCACTATCATCAGTGAACACAGATCTGTCAATGTGTGAAGATTCTATATAAATAAAAACAACATATCAGCATCTGCATCTATGCAAAATCATGCCAGAAAACACAATCAGAAACTCACTGAGAAGAGAAACAGTTGAGAATATATAAGAAGATGAAGAGAGTGTATAAGAAGATGAAGAAGATATGTCATTCATGATAGTATATTCTAGTGATTGTTAGAAGATAAACAAGTTCTGATCACATTTCACAACATATTACACTTACTACTAATAAACTACTCAGTATGAGCACTATGAGAATGCTTGTTATGAGAACAGAGAGTCATCACCAGAAATATGTATAATATAATAAGTGAATAAATGAAAAGAGTTGAATAGAAGAAGAGATAGAAATCTTAAATGAGATGATGACATTTAATGATGACAATGATGAAGATGATGATTGAAGAATGAGAAAAGTTAGTGAATGAGTAATGTAATATAGTGAAAGTTTCTTTGTGAGAGTGTATGCAGAATGCTAGCTGAATCAGAGATAGATCATACAATTATGAAATGCTAGTGATAAGCTAATCTGTATGAAGCTAGAGTGTATAACATAGTCACATGAGTGTGATCAAATCTGATGAGAGAGGATGTGATTCAGAAGAACATACAACTGTCAGATAATAACACAGCTGCTTCCGAACTACTAGCATACACATATGAATGTAAAGAAGGCCCTAGCGGCCACTAATTAATTTAGCGTACAAGATTCAATATATAAGAAGCCGGCGTACGCCTGTAATTATACGCTGGCTTAAGCAACCTTTGAATCACATATAAAGAGATATTTTACAGAATTTTAAAATATATCAAGATAAAAATATTTAATAATTGATTTTAAATTGATTTTAAATTGATTCTGAATTGATTCTGAATTAATTATAGTAATAAAAATAGATTTAATCTATATATTTAAGTAATTAATAATTGATTGAAAATCAGTTGATAATCAATTCAGTATAAATTATATAGATACTTACTTTATTATTAAATTCAAGAATAATTTTAGTATTAAATTGATTTTAAATTGATTTTGAATTGATTCTGAATTAATTGTTAATTAATTATTAATTAATTATAGTAATAAAATAAATTCAATCTGTATATTTAAGTAATTAACAATTGATTGAAAATCAGTTGATAATCAATTCAGTGTAAATTATATAAATACTTACTTTATTATTAAATTCAAGAATAATTTCAGTATTAAATTGATTTTAAATTGATTTTGAATTGATTGTAGAATTGATGGTAAATAATTAAGAAAGAAAGAGTGGTTTCAAATTACAAGAAAAGATGTATTGAGCGAGGTCAGGTAGTGGCACGGGCCACTTTTGCGAGGTCAGCTTACATAACGAGGTCAAGTGGCGCACTTAGCGAGGTCAAGTTTTCTGTATACACCCTTTGAAAAAAGGTTGGGCGCCTAAAATAGACTCCTGTGTTCCTGTTTTGAATCCTCCCAACCAGAGGTGGATCGATAGATTTATCCCCGGCTTGGCGCCAGGTCCCTGACGACCCAAAGCAAAATCACGGTTCCAGGCGGGCGGCTACACTCATGGAATTCAATCAGCTTCTTCAGTTCACCCATCTTTCCTCATCTTCTTTGGGCACCTGTCCGACAAGGAATGGACTGAACCAACCAACTAATAATTCACAATATCATTTAGGTGTTGCAGCCCGCCACACTAATCAGAAGTGCACGCTATTTCTGATGGGTGACGTCACCTCACATATCTTTGATTGAATGAACTTCTGACAGGAGCCAAGAATGGTGGCCGTGTCGAGTTGGTGGTGCGTGCCATTTCATGGACAAATACACGCGCAGGCACGAAACAGACATGCAGGGTTCCAAGCAGAGATTGCAAAGCAAAAAAGGACTGCGCGCCTAAATAGGTTCTGGCCACGGCCACATTTTTAAATCGTGGTGTTTCTGTTTCGAAGGCCATGTTTATCGTGGCCTTGGACTCTTAGCTTTGTCAGGTACCTGACCTCATCGCATTTCGAGGCGGGGAGCAAACCCTTCGTTGGAATTCCATTTGATTCTTAGTTCAAGACTCTGTTTTGTTCCTCATTCTCGACTTATTCCGCTGTCCATCTTTTAAATTCTGCAACATAGGCAACTACTTTGTTCCTGATTTGGCTGTCATCTGCTACCTTGTCTATGCTTGCCTACAATATGAGTGTTTATTCAATTATATTCTCGGTGAGTCATTCCCCGTTCATTGCTGCTACATCACTTATATTCATCTATAGGATCGACAAATATTCATCTATAGGATCGACAAAATGCAGAGGCGACACTTGACACTGTCGACACCATTGACAAAAAGATTGTTTCACGTGTATGCGACTCGCTGCGTCTTCTCGAGCGTCTCGGGGCAGCGAAGGCTGCGAAACTATTAGAGAGTGTAAAGAACTACGAGCCAAACCCTTCGGACTTCACGGATAGCCCCGAGAAATAGTTATTCCGGGCCGATCAGGGGCATCATCGGCGGAGCCTTAGATAAATAACTATGATTGAGGCGTCTTTGGTGATAAGTTAAGTAGTCGGCGTCATGTGCTCTCTGAGCAAGGGCTGCTTGCTCATAATTTATTTCAGATTCCGCTTTCAAACATCAATCTGGGAGAGCACAAAGTGGCCAATGGGCAGGGCCGAATATGGGTGTTTGTGGACTTTTTGGATGGTGAGAGCTGCGAAACTGAAGCTGGAAGAAACCATACCGAAGCACAAGGCATCCCCTTCCCCTTCTGGATTGTACTATGCCATCGTCTCCTCACCGTCCCAGTATTTCCTAGGTGGTCGCCCCTCACAACGGCCACATAGGAATCATTCGTGGTCGCAGGCCACCCGACGACAGCGTTGGGAGTTCCAGATGGTGGCCCCTCCCTTGGCCGCGCTTCTAGCCCTGGGGGGGACCATCGCGCACCCTGCCCGGGCGCTATGTATCCAGCATAATATGGGCCTTGCATGGACATGTTTTGTGGAAACACTCCATTATTGTACCCGGGATTGACGGCGAATGCTTCTTCTTTGGACGTAAGCCTTATACTCCCCGAGATTGGATTGTCCCACTTACCCGTCCGTACCTTCTTCCATGTTAGCTGACCCTCCTCAGCATGTGGGAACGCAATCATCAGGAAAAAAAGATAGAGCTAATTGGGCAGTGGTATTTGGGGAGGCAGCCTTCTTATATTCATCTCGCACGGGCCTCGACTAGATAGAAATTCCAATATTTCTCCCTTTTTCTCTTCACCTTGCTTCTTGTGGTGATCATTTCCTGAGCTCGGACAGGCAGCTATAATAACTCAAACTTTTGAATTCATGTATCAGGATGATTACAAACTGCCTGTATGAGCCTGCTCCTCCTCTCCCCCGCGAGAGAGCCTGGATGCCTTCCCATTGGCTCCGTACATGATAAAATTTCGCTGCTAGGAAGCTAACTGTATACCGTCCTCCTCTGGCGCTGGTGGAGGTTGAAGGGGATTCATATGCCGCCAGGCCCAATGTAAACAAGCGAATCTCTGATGCGACCTCAGACCAGACTTCTTTTTGTATTTTCTTCCGCACTAACACACATGTGGTCGACAATCCGAATCTGTGTGCTCTCATGTCAGCCCTATTTCCTTGAAGAAGGAGGTAGGTGCTTCTCTGCCAAGTGCCTCTTCAAATGCTCTCTACTGAACGCTGTTTCGCACCCGGGAACCGGGCACGCATATACCCGCTGTTTTGAATCTGTTTGCTTTCATGTCAGCCCTCTTTCTTGAAGAGGAGGTAGATGCTTCTCTCACGGACTATCAAGTGCCTCTTCAAATTATCTGTTCTGTAGAATACTGCTTCACACCCGCGGACCGAGCATGGATGTACCCGCTGTTTTGAATCTGTTTGCTTTCATGTCAGCCCTCTTTCTTGAAGAGGAGGTAGATGCTTCTCTCACGGACTATCAAGTGCCTCTTCAAATTATCTGTTCTGTAGAATACTGCTTCACACCCGCGGACCGAGCATGGATGTACCCGCTCTCCTGAATCTGTTTGCTCTCATGTTAGGCCTATTTCCCGGCAAGCAGAGCGGGTGCATCTTACGGATTCTCTGATGTGTTTTCAAAGTACGGGGAGTGGGAAGGAGGAGGAAGAGGGAGGAAGGGGGAGGCGGGGTAAAAAAGAGAGAGAGAGAGAGAGAGACAGTGTGTCGTCCAGTCCTCAACGACTGGGCACGGATGATAATCAGAAGTTGGTCGATGGGATGGGATGAGATGGTATGTACATACAATGCATTACTGCTGCGCGAGGCGATGGCAGCAAGGAAGTTGGCGGTTGCGTGTCTTCGAGAGAAAGTTGCTCGTAGGAGTGTTTCACAAGACTTGGAGGGTCGAAACTGGCACTCAAGCATCATGTTATCCGTTAAAGGGGCATCTAATAGAAATATAACAATTAACACAAGTAGATAATTCCGAAAGAGTATCGAATGTACTCCGTAGTTATCCTCAAAATTCTACCGTACTAATATTCAAGTTTATAGTAGTTGTTCCTGAGAATTCTGTTCTAGAACGTTCCGACGTGCATGCCGACCCCGGGGACCGGATTCTTTCCGGCTTTGAAGACGGACCAGCACCATGATGAAGGCGCACCGCCGTCGGAAGATATCACCAGGAGTCAAACCAGATTGGGGCCTGCAAGCGATTTCCACAACCTGTCGTCGCTCGGGGATCTGCAATATCGGAGGGGGGCGAGGCGTAAGCTCATCGGGCTCCTGACTTCCACCAGCCGGGAAGACCCATCGCGGTCTGGCGCCGCCTCAGGGGATGCCTCAAGCCGACCTGGTGCTATTGCTATTGAGCAGGCCGAAATACCTTCTCGCGCTGTCATCAAGAATGAGTGTGAATCAGACATCGGCGGTGCCAGCCTTCCGTCGAAACGCCGCCGCCGCCCATACCAGCACGAAGATTACCTTGACATTATTGAGGTTGTTGACATAACCGCCTCCCCGAGACCTGGAAAAAGGCGGGAAAAGACAGTGCCTCAATCTTCGATAGTGAAGCATCAGGGCACCAACAGTCGCCGTGCTCCAGCTGCTCAAGCGACCCGGCGTTGGAACTACCGAGGCCTTGTCGGATATGAGCTGAGGAATGGAAAGCCGTGGGTACGTGTTGCGTGGCACCCCACCTGGGAACCCGCCGAAGAGTTTCCTTCCGCCCAAGTGGAGGAGGCGAGACATCTACCGCTGAAGAAGGGTGAAGGAGGGCCAAAGAGTGCGAACAGGTTAAGAAAGGCGCGGAAACAGCAGTAGATGGTGTATTTATTAAAGCTAGTATACAATTTTGTTCCATGAAAGTACTGTCGTCCATGATTCTCGTGTAGCCAACCAGACTTACGTTCCCATCACCCGTTCGGTCATCGTTTTCTTGCGTGGGGACTTGATACTTGACTTGTGCCACCTCATGCCCCTTGAAGAGGCTTGACGTGAGCGTACCAGCTTCCGGTTCTTCGCACTTTGAGGCTCCCAAACAGACGATCCAGATGACACTGAGCAGTGTTTGATTCGGCTATAAACTCATCTTTGACCTTGCATCCCTGGAGCTTCGCTGTCGCATCCCAGCTGTACGGCCTTCTGGTGCGCCCGCCTCCGGGGGCCGCAGGCAAAGCCGGGCGGCCGAGTGCTGGGAATAAGAGGAGGTGGACCGAAAACGAGGACGTGCGCCTTCGTCGTATGAGAAACGCGGATGACGACTGGCCGGACATCGAGAGACGGTTCCCGCACCGGACACTGAATGCTCTACGGCAGCGGTGCGTGTTGCTCCAGCAGCACTGCTCATCAGGTGAAGATGGTTGGCCCTCTTGAAGCTAAACTGCTCATGTGTCGCCCAAGTAATGAGCTAAATCCTCACAAGAGGAATCCGCCTGTGAGGATTTCCGTCGCAGCAGCTTCCCCTCAAAAAAATCCTCTTCATTAGTCAGCTGAAGAAACTTGAGACGAAACTGAGCGACGAAGTCACTCTTAGGGCCAGCGTAGACGGTGTAGCTGCAGACGCCTTGCACAGCTACTGGAATATCACCTCCAAGGTGCTCCTTCACGCGGGAGATCACAATCTTAAAGCATGCCGCTGACATGCTACAAACGAAAATCTCATACTACTGGCATCTCATATTGCAAATTGCTGGAGCCCTGCGATTGCCAAACCCGGCGTCGGCAATGAAATCTTCCAGGGCGTCGCGTTCTTTGCTAGGTTCCAGGTCTATCACTCATTGGCGGCATGGCGGCCAACGGATACGGAACCAGTGCCCCTCAATCAGAGAAATTTGGTTGATTTCGGTACTAGGCGGAGATGCCTAAGTCTCATTAGCATTGGTGGTCAGCTATGAGACTACTCCTTACCATGATCTCAGTGAGTCGTGTTCAAATGTTCAATAAGCCGCAGCTCAGTGAGGAGGTTTGTTCAGGAGCTCGATCGTGGAGGCAAAGCTAGATTGAAACATGAAGAGACAACCGGGCAGGCATCTTTGACTATTTATGTACTGATTAATGGCTTGAGCTTTGAAAGCAGGAGGCATTGAAGCTAGGAAATAACGGTGCGGCATGTTCGATTCACGAATCTTAGGGTGTAAAGAAACAAATGAAAGAAAAGGAATAATGTAAAGCTAAGCCAGGACCCGTGCCTGATAATCATCCGCGAAGAGGTAACGTATGTGGTGGTCCAATAATTAACGAAGGAAAGCAAGAGAATGTGATCAATGTAATGTGCCCATCGGGAGGTTATACTGCATCCATTCCCGGAAGCATGACGGTTCCACTGTAAAATACCTCGCTCGCTTCATCAGCAGGTCCAGCCGGTGCCGGGATCTCAAAATTCCATACAACGTGAACACTAATTCTCCAATGCTATTGATAACAGTGGAACATAAACCGCTGGCGTAACAACCAGTCCTTACCATGTCCATCCCCATTGGTACCATCTGACAGCAGACACCAGGAATAGTTCAGGGTGCATGATTCTTCTGATTTGCGCTCGGTTATCTCAGTAGACACCTCCTGGATAACGAGAATTCCATCAGAGGTAAGATTCAGGGTGGAAGAAGCGTAGTTCGCGGGTAGATTAAGAGGCGTCTCGGATATCATGCAGGGGATGATATGGGGAAGTGGTGTGGTTTGCGGAGGAAGCATATCCATGTTAGTGTCTTTGACCACCTACACGTTAGTTACCACGTACCCGTTGGTCCATTCTCTTGATTGTTGACTGGTTTTTCCCACCCCAAATTCCACCACTCCTAGGATAGATATGATTAATATTTTTTTATTCCAGAGCTTAGATAATATGAGTACTCCCTCCGAGATATATAAAAAGTCAAGATCTTAAGGCGTTGGGTAGCTGGTGGAGGATAATAACGGGTACGTGGTAAATAACGTGTAGGTGGTCAAAGACACTATCTGCTTGCAAGTGCCTTGGATCTATCACACATCTTCCTAGGCTGGAAGGACTGATTGGTACTTAAATCCTGACTCACTGAACTGCGCAAAAAGAAAAGCAAATACCAGACTTCCCTTGGCTCATCCCAGAGCCATTGGCCTCAAAGGGTTGCTTCCACACGAAAAATGCCAAATCAGGCAACCGTCGCCTGCAAGTACATGCATTAGGCGATGTACTGGCAAGAGGGGCAGATCAAGGATCTCAGCCTCGCTGCATCTCTTTACTTTCTTGAACTGGGAGGGAGTGCTACAAGGCTATATAAACCTCGTGTCGTTCCCCCCTCCATCCTTTGAATTTTAGAATTAAACAGCAAGCAAATGCCCGAAAGATCTATTTCTGATCAATCAAGCTCCTGATCTCCCTACCGTATCCCCAAAGCCGAGGATCCATCTACATAAAATGGCTCCCCCCAACGAGCAGAGTCTTTCTCAAGGCATCCAAGCCGAGCTGCAGGCCAAAAAACAACGACTCGCGCTGCTGGAACAAGAAGAGGTCCAGGCGCTATCCTACATGCAGGAACTTCAGGCTCAGGCACGAGTAATACAACAGCTGAACACGAGTGCCAGGGAGGTTCAAGCGGCCCGTGCAGTACAGACTAGCGGCAAGACGGTGGCGCAACAGGTTCAAGACCAGATGACAGAAGTGGCCAGAATCCAAGCTGAGGTAGAGGTTGTGCGAAGCACGATTGAATTACTCAGTAGTCCATAGTAAATCCACGAGGTAGTGTATACAACTCAATTCCTCCGATCCCTGCTGACCAGGTACACTAGACATATTGCCCCAATCGCGATAAGCGGCCACCGCGTGTGTGGTCTTTCGAGCTCAGCTTTCAGCTCCCCTTTTCTTCGGACTTCACTTTCAACTCTTGCGAAGAGATCACCCTCCGTTTCGTCTCCATCCCCAAAGACCTTCTCGGCTTTTTCGCCCGGGTCCTTCAACCCCAGCTTGGCTTCCTGTTCTGGCGTTAAAGTTGGACTCGAGAAAGTCACACGTTGTTGTACTCCCAACTCTTGTCTCTTTTTTTCAAAGCATGCCAATTCGACTACCTTTTGCTTCAAAATGTCAAGCTCAGGTTGCCAAATAGTCAATTTAAAAAATGCTTCCACTCTCTGATTACGGTCCCAATCGTAGTAGCGGGAATCTAGAGCATGGCAGTAGACGTTTCCGAAGGAGTGAGGTTTCAAAAGTCCGTGAGCAATAGCTTGGTCCTCGTATGCCTGCTGGCGCCAGACCTTCACCACGGGAAGCTCTGATCGCAGTTGTCGGTGAGGGTTGTATGAAGTGTGCACATGCTCACACACGGAGTTAATGAAGTCTCGAGCTGCGATCATAAATGGGAAAGCGAGCAAGGGCTCGGCAATTTGCACCACCTGAAGATTGGTGAGCCAGTAAGGGGGAACCGCAAACAACTGAACCGGGAGAGTATGACTCCACTCCCAATCCAGAATAGAAGTAATGTTGAAGTTGTCATCAACAACAATATTGGGCGGGCGGAGATCGCCATGCATCAAAATAAAAGGGCCATGGTTGTACTTTGGTTTAACCCAGTTCATCACAACACCCTGACCAGCCCAAATACTGTATCGATAATGTTGTGCATCCTCTTCCCCCATTATTGAATCCGGGCATCGGGAGTAGTCGTTGTAGATGAGTCTGAAAATCAGGTAGACATAATCGATTGCGGAGGTGAATGTCTGCTGAGGAGGCAGAAAACGCGAACAAAAGTCAAAACCACCGACCTCTTGGTCATTGATATCGACTGATAGAGGTCGGTTGTTGGCAAATATCCAGTTCTCATCATTCTCATCCAGAGTGAGAGCTCCGATTCGGTCGAATTGTTGGTGATAGAGTTGGATATAGACATCAGCGAGTTGGGTGTACAAATGTTCTCTTGTACTTTTCTCAAGATCTGGAAGCACAACGCCAGCCAATGTCTTCCCTTCAGTATACTCCATAAGCATAAATGGAAGGCCGAGGACGTTGTCATCGCCGTGTATGGAGTAGCCGTGGAGACGAGGAATGGGAATGGTGGTCTTCTCTGCAATATACCTAGTTGATGTTAGCTTCACTTGTAGTTCTACCATCAATTTCCACGAAACACCTGGGAGGGGGCCCGCCTACTTCATGGTTGCAATTTCGCCGCGCATCTTCTCCTCCGGAAATGCTAGTCGGGGGAGAAGAGGAATCCTGACCATCCACTTCTCACCTTCCACGCTCTCAGCATCCTGGTTAAAGATCACAGGAAAGCAGACGTTAAAGCCACCCTTTTTCCAGTCCGAAAAGATACGACAGGGACTTTTGGCAGGATGAAAGGATGTGGCCAGCTTACAGACTTTTGAAGGATCAATGGAAGCTATAAGCTCCTCTGCAGCTTGATCAACTCTGTGCTTTGTGATTTGATCCATAATTGGATGATTCTAGAGACCAAAATATTTGTGGGAGAATGGCAAGAAGAACTTAGAATGTTGTAAGCATCTGAACCCATGTTTTTTGCAGCCTTGTTGTTTGCTCTTCTGCGAGAACAAATGCAGGGGGTGAGCTCCCATGTCACGTGACATTCTAGAGTTTGGGTTAGGCTCCAGGGGCTCTAAAGCAACCTTGGAATGACTAAGCCCCTAATTTCTGAAAGTCCATCCTTTGTTTGTATCACTCTGCCAATGTGGTTCCATAGATCATGCTTGCACACCGCACGTCCACAGTCAGAAGGGCATACTGTGTTGGTCATTGTCATGTTCTATTCCAAGGCAGCCATCCTGAGATTGGCATGCTCAAGCAGGCGGGGATTAGGCCCCAGCTTCATGTAGCACCTCTCCTTTGTTAAGCAGCAGTTCAACCACTACTCTGCCAGGTCGGCACAGTAAAAAATGGCACCTCGCACCCCACGATTTTGTCCATTATTATCATCACAACCATTGCATTCCTCTTCTCGTGTCCAGCATAACATTGTTTTTGATTAGGTCTATACATGAGGGTTAAGCCCTGTTGATACATACAGCCTTGCAGAGGTGCAACCACCAGGCGCTGGGCAGGGAATCGAACTCACCGATGCGCCTTGATCGCGTCGCGGAGGGACTTCAAAAGCTCAGTAGGCGAACCGTACAATGTACCCTGACACATGATGGCGCTCTGATAGCTGAGCAGCTTCGGGTTCAGCTGCACAACTGTCTCCTCACCACTTATGCTCTCAACAGTGATCTTGTTGGCACCGCTACCATCCCGTGTGATGAAGGTATCCAGCCCCAGCTCCTCGTCTGTCATCATTGCGTAGCCCAAGATCATCCAAAAAAAATGCTTCGGGTCTTCACTGATATATCCACGCCTCCGCCTTCATTCCACAGACTGCAAACGCATGGACAATCGACGCGTCGGCTGGGCCTTGAAGACCTCCCGTGTGACGGCGCCGACCTTTTGACCTCATTACCAGATATGGACAAGGACTAGGGCACGACCTTAGGGCTTCCTTTGTTTATCTGCAACACTTCGCGTAGCAGCATTCATCCTTTTCTTTCTTCTTCAGCTTTGAATCTTCGTATATTGCGCTCTATTTGTATGTTAGGTCGAATAGAATTGGCATCGTTACATCCCGCACATAGCGCGCCATCTGCAGCAGCGCACTTTTGCTCCTGATCTTATCCTTGGGTTTTTTCAACTCACCGACGACCCGGATATCCTTCCAGTTGTGCTTTCCACTGATGTCACTCGCGTTTCGGTCCCTGAGGAGGAGATCAATCTGTCGCTCCGTCGCTCTTGCTCGCCGTGGTGAAATAGACGCTTGGTGCATCCGGCAGGAACTCGTCCTGGAATCCAAACCACCAGTCGAGGGCGTCTTTCTCTGTTGGCGGGTCGGGGAAGCCCGACCATCCACTGTCAGCTCCGGAGCCAAGCGCGCGGCGAGTGGCATCATCTGCCCGTGTGTTCCAGTCTTTTCCTTCAAAATATTTTTTGAAGAAACCCTCAACATCCTGGTGAGTACAGCCCTCAATCTCCTCGAAGAGTCTTCCTTCCACCAGCCGACGCGTCTGCTCTGACCCTTTCTGCGATGATGATGTAGATCTGAACGACGTGCCATCAAATGACGGAGGAATGCTCGTCGGGGGGGTGGTTCGAGAGATACTGGTGATAAGGTCGAGGACCGAAGATGTGTGAACAGCCTTGATAGTTCAGAAGCAACATCTCTTTTGCTTATCGGGGGTCGGAGATTAAAGCAGCTTTTTCATCCATTAAAGTGATTAAAAGCTTTGATATCGCTGTTTGGCGGATATCATCAGGGTCATCGTCAGCGCCGTCGTAGGATGTTAGGGATAGCCGTTCCGCATCTTGGAGCAAGTCACGTACACGATCGAGCGAGTCAGCCAAAGGATATTTTGTGATGATAGAGAGTTCGGCTTGCGATAATTTTGCCATACCTGCGACGCGAGCTGTCACAGAATATTGAGAGAGTTGCTTGAAGAGGCAGCCCTGGCAAACCAGAAGCCTTCGGGGATGTGCCAAGACCCTAAGCCCAGGCGGGCGCGGGTACGGGGGAGGAATTACTTAATCCCGAGATGGTGCCAAGTGATATCCTTCTGGCTCATCCTTCATTAACCGTGCTTCAAAGGCTAACGACCCTAACAGCTAATGTTTTACAGATATACTTTCTAGGCTACAACAGATACTTGGCAAATTAGTGACTGTGTGATATCAGATTGACTATAATCTGACATGTAGAGCCAAGCTGGGACACTCTGTTGAGGTAATATAATGTAAGAAATCCCGCTCCTCGCGGATCCTTTACTTCTATTTCTATCTCTCATGTAATCAATAGGGCTAGCAGCCCTTGACTACACACAACTATATAGACTGGAGTTTGCAAATACTATTCATAACTCAGCTTGAATACTATTATATATTTAACTTCTATATTTTATCTTTCTACTGTAAATACTTTTAGTAGTTAATAGTATATATCATATCAAGCTATAAATACTCAAATAATTATCTGTAAGCACTTATTCTTATATTTCAAGCTCAGTCAGTCAGTAATTATCTGTTATAACTGAAAGAACTAGAAACTTATATACTTCAATCTCTGTAAACTCTACTATAGATACTCTTAGACTAGCTGCTAGAATCATGAATTTCACATTTAATTTCATTTGATCTGATCTCATACATTTCTTGATATAAGTCTCATCAGAACTAAGTCTTAAAAAAATCTGAAAATGAATTATTTCTGAGAGAAATGATGTGAAAAATGACCAGATTTAATTCAAGAACAGTGAAATGAGAGTAATTTTCCAGAATAAACTGTGAAAGATAATCATTCTTTCAAAATCAGAATAAGACTAAGACTGAAGATTAAAATCAGTCTCATTCAGTTCATTCAGTGATTGCTTATATAATCAGAATTTGATAATGATTATTGATAACACTTATGAAATAACTAAATATATTCTTATACAAGTTTATTCTTCACTTTCTCATGAAAACTACACTTTTCTGATAAACTGTGATCAGAGATATTAAACTATCTGATAATTTCATATTTTACAATCATGAGTTTCTTAATTGTTTCTTCTTATAATTGTTCTCAGTGATAGTAATAAATAGACTGGTCACTGAAATCATGAATTTCACATTTGATCTCATTTGATCTGGTCTCATACATTTCTTGACGTGAATCCCGCTGAGACTGGCTATCAAAAAAACATGTAAAGTGACTATATATCAGATCTTAAAATGGAATCATGACTTGAAAAAAATGAGAAAGTGGTTTCATTTGATTCCATTTAGTCTCATTCTTGGCATAAAGTTACTATTTTTAGACATTTTAAGGTTTTTTTTAGACTATTTTTAATTTTTTAAAAAGTAACACTTTTTGGTAATGCTCAAATGAGATTTAAAGTCATTTAAAGTAATAAAAATAATTTAAATTGAGAAGTGGAAATCATGGTCTCATTTGAAAAATGTGACAAGAGTAGACAGTAAGTCTCACTGAAACAGTATGAGACTACTATCTAATGCTAAAACTGTGTAATGGGATCAGTTGAATTGGTAATGAGACTATCAAAAAATCTGGTTCTGGTCCCAGACACGGTCACATGGTCAGTCTAGTAATAAATATCTTGACTTGAGTTGAACTTTCACTTCATTCTCATCTCTGTTAATGAAATTATCAGAATATCATGTACTATCAGTGTAACAGTTGAATATATACTCTCAATAATTTTTCATAACTCTAGAATTGATTTGATGTGTAAATTCATCAGATCATCTTGAAGATAGTGATCAAATTCAGTTTTACAAGTATGTAGTTTTGCCTGACTTTTAATTGTAATCAATGTATGTAAGTTCTATTTCAAAGTTAGTATTATAGTTCTATATAATATGAAGTGTTATTAAAGATTATTACTTACTAGAGAATTGTATTTCACTGTCTTCACATCTCAAATATCTGCTTATTCAAATCTCTGATAGTTGACATTATAGTAGTCTCAGATTAATTTAATATATAAGTCTCATTTCTTCTCTGTTCAATCTTAAGAAGTGTAGATATTAACTTAATAGAAGAGATCTAGTAGAGCTGCTACAGTATAGTACTCTGTAAAAGATTGTTCTATTTTACTGTAGTAATATATCAGTTTATCTCTTACAGTAATAATAGTCTGTGCTATAGCATCATCTTAGACTGAATTTCTTTTTAAGTGATTCAACTGCTTCTCAAGATAAGTAAATAAACTGTTATATACTCATCAGACTGACTGCAGCATTGATGTATAAGTGATTAAGACTGTCTTTATTATCTTATAAAACTGAAACAGTAAATCAATCATATATTTCAACTGAGTTCACTTCATATCAGAAAGTTTCAATATCTGAATCTTTTCTTAATCAGAGTATTGCACTTAATAATCAATTATCTGATACAATCAAAGAGTCTGAACAGTTATCTTATATATTGAACTTCATCATATTTTAATATTTTGTATCATATTCAGTGATGTGACTGATTTATTTATTTATTGAATATCATGAAATCATTGTTATTATTTAGAAGAGATATAAATCATATTAACAATGTTTCAAATCTATGATATTTAAATTATTAGTCAATCTATTTAAAATTAACAGTAGTGTTATTAAAAAGCATTATTAAAAAACAATATTAAAAAGTGTTATCAAAAAACATTATCTTTTATAAAGTGAATGTAAAAGTTACTTAAGTAATTACTTTCATCTTATTCTCATCTCAAGAATCAGTCATCTCATTATTCTTCATCTCAATGTTAAGATTCTTTATCAGTGTTTATATCACAAGTTGAATCACATGAGCAATGCAGAGAATATAATCTTGTTTATTATTTCAGAAATGCAAAGTCAATTTTTACTTCAAGCTCTTCATCATAGTGTAGTTATTCACAGTATTATCAGTTGTAATTATAAGAAGACTGAGACTAATATCTCAATAGTTATTTTTAATCACAGTTATTAATATCTCTGTTATATAATTCTCAGTATGACTACTGATCAATGATTCAAATTTAATTAATGTGTAAGAATAAGTGCTCGCAGGCAATTATTCGGGTGTTTGCAGCTTGATGTGATATGTACTGTTAACTACTAGAAGTGTTCATGATAGAAAGATAAATGTAGAAATCAAATGTATAATAGTATTCAAGCTGAGTTATAAATAGTATTCATGAACTCCAGTCTATATAGTTATGTGTAGCCAAGAGCCGCTAGCCCTATTGATTATGTGAGAGATAGAAATAGAGGTAAAGAATTCACAAGAAGTGAGATTTCTTACATATCTCTCTCTCTCTAAGGCTTCATCTGCAAAGCCTTTCACTGAGTGACTTCATAGTCAGCTCAGCACTGCAGTGATACTCACTAAAAACTCTTCACATCTATAAAAAACCTCAGTGAGGAAAAATCTCTTGTTATCATGAAGAGAAAAGAGTCTGTCACTCAGTTTCTTATTCTGTAAGATTCTTTATAATCTACAGATTCTTCTCTGACTATTACATAGATTTATCTTGCATCTTTCATACAGAAGAGTTCTGGTTGACTCTCAATCATTTTCACAAGATTCTTGTATAATCATCACACAGATTCATCTTACAGATGAATCACTCTTTGTGAGATCATTCTCATCAAAGAGAAACATTTGTGAGTTGATCTTTCACTCATTCTTGCAAATCATTGCTCTTTAACACTGTAGAATTGTGAGGAATTTTTCATTCTTTCATCAACTCTGTAGAATTATAGAATTAAGATATTCACAGTCTGCAATCACTCTTTGTAGTCATATAGAAAGATTCAGGCCTGTGATTCACAATCACTCTTATTTGCTAGAGTGATCTGGCTATTTCACAGAATCACTCACAGTGTAAGCAAACCTCTCTAGAGTAGTATAAATATCTCAGATCTGTCTGTGAAATCTCATCTTCTTTTCTCTTTTTCTGTAACAGCTTTCATTCTTACAAACTGTGAGTATTCTCATTCATCTGTGAAGTGTTTTCACTCAGATGATAGAGAGAGAGTGTTTCTAACAATATTCACATGTTGATTCAAGAACTTCTCAAGAATAAAAATTTTTTCAATTTCAATATCTTTGCAAACAATATCTGACTGTCACTAAGCTTCTTGTGAATGTCCCTGTGACTCCTCTGATTGCTTTTTACTGGCTGGTGGAGCAGGGGCACTGCCACCTACAACTGCATCTTCATTCTTCTCAGCCTTGCCATCACACCTGATCTTCAGGCCAGTAGCTCACCTCATCCCTCTCCCAGGCCAGTCTCTGACTCTAAGCAGTGCAGTTTCTTTCTTTGCTGTAAGTCTTCTCATAAGTAATTCCTTACAGATTCTAGCTGACAGTTCTTGTGAAGCTTCTGATGTTGTCAGTGTCTTCTGCAGCTTCACAGGCCTATGATCATCTTCTCTCTGCCTGCACAATCTCTGACCAGGCATATGTGAATATGCCTAGGTTCTCTATCAATGATCCTCGCGCCGCGGCGCATTTCTGCAATCCCATTGTCAATGGGAGATGGGTTCTCAGGTACCTGCAAAATCCAGGTAATCAAGGCAATGTGAATGCCATGAATTTGTGATGAGAGTTAACCTGGGCAGATGAGCCTTCTCTTCACATTCTCATTGTTTCTGGGCTGGATACTCCAGCACAACTGAGAGAGTGAACACAGCTTTGTGAGGGATATCTGGTCACATACACAGATGACCAGTCTTCAAGATTCTGCTACAACTGTACATGCTCTGGTATCTGACTTCTCTGAAGTCTGTGCATTTCTGACAGTCTTTGCATCAAATGCAATAATTGTCTGTACTGTGAATATGATGCTCTCTGCTCCTTTGAAGAGAGAAATTGATAGTTGTGAGAGGATTGAGTGTTGTGAGTATTGATGATGTGAATATGAGTTTTCTTTATTTTTTCTTTATTGATCTCTAAATTATATTCACAGCCCTGTTTGTTTTCTTATTTTTTAACTTTAATGAGAATATGTTTTCTTCTTTCCTTGTGTACACTGTAGACTGTTCATCTCAGTAGAAACTTATTATCTTGTAGACTAGGGTTTGCAAATGACAGTGTTAATGTCTTTATCACAATCAGGTTCTTAGTGAAGACTGTGTCATTCTGACTTATCAGAATTCATAGTATGAAAGTCATGTCTCAGCTTCTGCAGATGTCTTATCTGCTCAGATGATTCTTAAGTAAACTCATTCATCTTATCAGAATATTCTTGTCACTGAACCTTGAATCAGAGCTTGTGATCTCACTTCTCTGAGTCAATAATTTCTTTAATCTGATATTCTCTTTCACTCTCTAGTGCTTTATAAATAGAGTGATGAGTCACAGAGTTCTCTTCTGAGAATTCCTTATATTCACAGAGTAAAGAGATATGAAAAATATTATATATCTACAACTCAGATGACAGTTTCAATCTGTAGAACTGTGAGCTAACTTTCTTCACAATCTTGCAAGGCTCTGTTTATAAGAGATTCAGCTTCTTACTAGATCTCTGCATAGTGATGTTTTCTAGACTCAGTCAGACTCTATCATCTTTCTTGAAACTCTTTGTAATATACTTGAAGTTATAGTATCTCTTCTAATACTCTTGAGTCTTTTTCAAGAATTTGTGAGCTTTCTCTCAGATCTCTTGAATTCTCTCAGCTCATTCATAAGCATTATTACACTCTATAGTGTACTCTCACAGATTCATCAAGATCATTCATGAATGAGTCTCAGTGAGCATCTTAAAGAGGGTTTTATCTGTGCTGACATGCTTTAAGTTATTGTACATGAACTCTGTGAGTGATAATCAATGCACTCAGTCATTCTGATTGTAATTAACAAAGTATCACAGATACTGTTTCAATATACTTATCAGGTATTCTATCTGATCATCTGTCTGTTGATGAAAAGTCATACTTAGATCTCATGAGATCTTCAGTATAGTCATCAGATCAGATCAGAACTCTTCTGTGAAGATTGATTCTCTGTCTGAGACAATGTTCACAGATAATTCATGCAATCAGATCACATTGTGAATGAAGATGTGAGTTAAATTCTTTAACTTCAAGTTCTTACAGATGAGTATAAAGTGTGTCATCTTGATGAAGTGATTCACTATCATCAGCACACTGTCAAAGCAGGTATTATATATGTTCTTACTTTCAGAGAGGCTCACAAGAGCATTCATTTCTAGCTGTTCTCAAGGTTTCTATGAGATGAATAGAGAAGTAAGTTCTTCATATGACCTGAACTGCACTACTCATGAACTCTGATAAACAGTACAAGAATTCACTATCTTCTTCATAAGTTCTTGTATCTTCAGTCAGAAGTATTTTCTTACAAACAACTCATGAGTTCTAGTATCTGTAAAATGACTTACTAGAGAAGAGTTATGATATCTTTTGATGAGTTCTACATGTAGAAACTCATTTACAGGCATATAAATTCAACCCTCTCTTTGTAAGAGATTATTTAAGTTTCTTTAATTCTTTATTTCTGCAGAGTTGATCTCTGCTATAAGCAGTTTCTGAATATGCTGAGTATATTCATTCTTCAGTTGTAGTTCAGACAATCTGAATAGAAGATCTTGTGAAGACTTATGCTCTGTTTCTTCTTACATCAGGTCTTCTGCAGTGCTTCTCAAAGCCTGCAAATTCTTCAGGTTATAGGTACTCTCTTCAAGGATTCTTATGGAGATTCTCAGAGTGTTGACTCTCAGTGTCATAGAAAGTAGTTGTGCAGGCTTCTTCCCTCTCTTTTCTCTCTTCTCTCACAGGGGATTGAGAGACTCTTCAGTCAATCTCTTTGCAATACTCAGTCTGAGCATTCTGTGAAGCTTTTCTGCCTTCTCTAGCTTCTCTGTATCTGTCATCCTGGTCTTCTTAACATAGTCTGATCTGTGAGAGAATTTATCTGCCTTTCTATCAGAAACTCAAGCAGCTATAAGAAAATGACTAAATTCAGAATTATCTGAGTATGAAGAGGAGGAAATTAATCAGATATAGTCTGTTAAAACAGCTATACACTCTCTTTTAATAATTTGTTTTAATCACTGTTATAAGACTCTTGAAGTAGTGATATCAGTGATGAAAGAATTTCACTATTATGAGAAGCTTCTGATCATGAATGTTATAGTTGATCTCTGCAGGTTGCATCTTCTGTGAGAAAAAGGCCACTGAAACCCAGTTCTCATTTGACTGTAGTTGCAAGACTATTTCTGAAATTGCAAAGAAGAAGACATCTGTCTCTAATCTGATTAAGAGTAAGAAATCAAAGTGAAATAGTATCACTGTGTCTATGAATATCTGTTTCAATCTTACAAAGGCCCTGTGAGCTTCTGAGATAAGAAAGTTCTCACAGTTCTCTCTTCTCAACAATCTTTTCATTCTCTGTTTGTGAGATGACTTCTTCTTGTTTTCATTCTTCAGTATGTCTGTAAGAGTCAAGAAGATTCTCATAAATGCAAAGATAAACTGTCTATAGAAATTCACAAAGCTCAGAAAGATCTGAATCTCATAAATACTAGTTGACTCTGACTATGATAGAATAGTCTCAATCTGTGAAGGTTTCATCTGAATATCATCTGCAGTGATTACATATTCTAGGAAATTAATTCAGTGAGCACTGAAGTTGCACTTTGTAAGCTTAACATACAGTCCTGCCTTATCTAAGGTCTTCAACACACTTCACACATGCTCAGTATGTTCTTCCTTCTTCATGGAGTACATCATCACATCATTCAGATATATTATCACAAAGATATTCAGATATATGTGAAGTGTTTTGTTGATGAAAGACTGAAATGCTGTGAGAGTATTAGTCAGATCAAAAGACATCACTAGATATTCAAATAATCTCAGTGCAGTTCTAAAGACAGTCTTTCATTCATCTTCAGACTGTATTTGCAGCTGTGTATATGTATTGATTACATTCAGTTGTATGAATATGATAGCTTCTGTGAGACAGTTGATCACATTCTCAATCAGAGACAGAGAATAGTGATTCTTTGTTATCTTGGAGTTCAGATCATGATAGTTTATACACAATCTGAGATCTTCATTCTTCTTCTTCATGAATATCACAGAGGCTCCTGTGAAGGCCTGTGAAGATTGAATGAAGTCATTCTTCAGATTCTTCTTCACATAGGTCTGCAAGACCTCTGTCTTATGATGGAAGAGCTTATAGATTAGTTCTCAGAAGGGTTTCTGCTCTTCTATCAAATCTATTACTAGATTCTTCTTGTGATGAGAAGAAAGCTCAGCTGCCTTAGCTGAGCTGAACATCTCTGTGAGATCTCAGTATTTCTCTGGTATCTGAAGCTCAGTTTTCATGATTGTGAGATTCTCAGACACTTACAAAGTCATTATATAGATGAGCTTGTCTTCTCTAATCAACTCTGCAGCATCAACTGCTTCTACCTCTGTAAGTGAGTCTGTTAACACTGATCAGAAGTATAAACCTGACTCATGAACAGCTATGTGCAGATTGTGTTTTTGAAGTTATGCAAGTCTCAAATACATGTCATCTGTGATGTTCATGATAATCACAGTTTCTGCAAATCTTCTTCAGGTTTCAGAGAGATCTTGTAATTCAAAGATGACTCTCACAAGTCTCTCAGTTCTCAGATCTGAGTTCTCACACCCTGCTTGTTGTAAGAGCAGGTTCTCAGTCTTCACCTTTCAGCTCATTCACTCTGTGAGCTTTAGAGACATCACAGTGACCTGGGATTCTGAGTTCATCAATACTTCTCATACTTGTGAGACAGCAGTACTGCAGTGCAGTCTCTCTCTGTGAGTAAGCATTTTCATTGAAGAAGCAACAGATTCAGATGTCAGCTTCAAGGCTCTTAAGAAGGCTGTTGCTGACTCTGTCTGTGACTTCTCAAATTTCTATTTTGATTTGTCTGAACAGTTTGCGCGGAGATGTCCTGATTTAGAACAGATGAAGCAGAGTCTCTTTTTCTTAATCTCTCTGTTATACACTCTGTTCACAGGAGCTTGTGAAGCTCTCTCTCTCTGCTCAGCAGTCAGATATGAATCTCTCTGTGTCTTATCATCTTTTTCTGACAAACCTGTTCTCTGTTGTTCTGATTCTTGCAGGGCTGGTCAATGATCTGCTCTCTGTGAGTCTGTGGCTCTCACAGTGATCTGTAAGTGATGAATAAGAGTCATCAGTTTCTTCAGAGTCAAGGACTTAGAGCCTTGCTTAATGAGCTTGTTCTGCATGTCTTTATTCAGTCTCTTTACAAACATCATCATTCAGGTCTTGTTTCAGGACTCTGTTTTCACAGATCTCAATTCATGTCACAATTTCATGAAGTGCTGTGAGTAGTCTTCATCAGATTTCTCACCTCTTTTTCTAATATTGATGATTGTGGCTCAGGTGTTCTCTGTCTGGCTTGTGAAGTCTCTCAACTTGTTCTCTAGATAGGTCTTGAGAACAGATCATTGAGATCTCTCATGATCATTCTCTAGATGATTCAGCCAGTTCTTGGCTTCAGTGTAATAGAGGTCTGTCATTGTGTAGATGACAGCTTCTTCATCTTTCATGTCACACAGCCGGGCTTGTGAGTCAATTTCAAATGCAAACTTGCAAAAGCTTTTATAGATTGTGGTTTGATAGGTGGCCTTAAGTGGTTGTGACTTGAGGAAGTTTCTTTTCAGTTTGTGAGTGTCTCTGAAGATCATGTCTAGAGACTCAGTTCAAGAGTGTTTGCAGGCAGTAAGCATTCCTTGTAGAAAAATAGCTTGATTCTGTGAAAGATGCTCAAGAATGTTCTTCACTGAGATTGATTCATTTGTGGGTTCAAAGGGTTCCTCTGTCACAGATGCAGAGGATGATGTCTCATGAGTGATTAATAAGTTCTCTGAGACTTCTTTCACAGAGGTTATTCATGGTTCAGGTGGCTGCTCCTGAGTGTCTGCAGTAGGGTTTGCAGGGGTTGAAGCATGTGAGTTTCTAGTTCTTCCAGTCATAACAGGCGGTTGCTGACTGACTGAGCTTGAAATGTAAGAATAAGTGCTCACAGACAATTATTCAGGTGTTTGCAGCTTGGTGTGATATGTACTGTTAACTACTAGAAGTGTTCATAGTAGAAAGATAAATGTAGGGATCAAATGTATAATAGCATTCAAGCTGAGTTGTGAATAGTATTCGTGAACTCCAGTCTATATAGTTGTGTGTAGCCAAGGGCCGCTAGCCCTATTGATTACATGAGAGATAGGAATAGGGGTAAAGAATCTGCAAGGAGCGGGATTTCTTACATAATGTCTCTTAATAAGTTCAGTTCTCATCAATGTAATAACATGTAACTCTTATAAATGTAAGATTATTTGTACTAGTTCATGCATTCACTATGAGAGACACTCTTTGATAATTCTTTAACTCTGATTCTAGATATTACATATTGACTTTGTAGTATATCTCAAGATTGAACTGAAGACAGAATTGATATGAAATATAAAGATTTGAATTAAGTATTTAAAGAAGTGTTCAGAATTCAGAGTTTTTAATTAATTAAAGAGAAAGATTCAGAGATATATACATGTAAAGTAATTATTCACAGAAGTTATCAGATGAGAGCTGTGAAATCAGAGTACTGATACAGAGTTGTTTTTACATAATTTTCTTCAAATTAGAAAGTTAGTATTATTAAAAATTGTTATCTGATAGAGTAACTTATCAGCTCAGTAGTAATTTTCTGATTATTTTTCTTTTATTATCTGCATTCTGATGACTTCAGATGTCAGAAAATTTCTTCAGAGTCATGATTAGTTTATAATGAATGTTTCTGAATAAAGTTATAGTGATTGTAGCAGAGAGATAACTCTTCAGTAATCTATAATATAATCTGTTAATAATTATTTCATAGTTCATCTCAATGTTTGTATTGAGTTTTTCATAAATTTCATGGCCTGAAATCAGATATGAAGAATGAAGTAATTATTCATTATAATTGAAAGAGAGTATTCTGTATTGAATTATAAATAATATAGACTTTATAATTCACAGTGATTTCTTGAAGAGTTTGTAAATCTTCAATAGAAGTAAAAGAAGTGAAAGAAGTGAATTCAGAAGATATAATAATAATTTAAAAAAGATGATAATTTATTTTCAATAACTGATCACTGATGTGTGTAAGAAGAATTAATATAAGAGAAAATAATCTTGTTTCTTAGCTTAGTTATAATTTTAATACTAACTCAGATTGAATATTATCAATGTATAAAAGTAAATAAACAATCTTGATTAATCTCTGTTATATTTCTTGAAATATATTAATATTGTGAAAGAGAGTGTTACTAAATTATATTATCAGATAATATCATTAAAAATATATTAATATTGTGAATATCAATATTGAAAAAATGTTGATACTTATACATTATAGTGATTTGTGAATAATGATAGTTAAATATATATATATATATATATATTGTTCCTGACTTGATTACAACTTGTACAATAATTTTTAAAAACTCAAAATTAATTTTAATTATTAATAATTATGAACTTATAACTAACTAATATAAAAAGAAAAAAACTTTTTCTACTCATTATCTTTCTTCTCTTTCTCATTTTTTTTATCATTCTTTATAATTCATTTCTCATTCTTCTTCTTCTTCTTCTTCTTCTTATCTGAGATAATAATCATCTCAAAATCTCTCTCTGCTGTCTTCTCAGAGAAGAGTTTTCACTGCTCTCTCTTAGTTAGATTAATCTGTACTTCAAAATCCTGCATTTTCTGATCTGCTGTCTTGAATTTCATCTTAGCAGTAAGCAGATTGACATGCTCAGAGAGTAGAGCTGTCTTCTCAATATTCTGAATCATGAAGTGTATTTGAGATCTGAATAAGATCTCAATTCTCTTCTTCTCTGCCAGCTTCTACTAATCAATTAGAGAACAGAAGTGTTATCAAAAATCATTATCTCTTAATAAATAAAAAACTTATCAGTTTTAACTTCTTTATCTTTTATTTTAATACTCTCTTAATCTTCTTCTGCTGCTGTTTATTTATAGTAATACTCTTCTTCTCTCTCTCTCTCTTTATCTTGATCTTAAATCATTCTCAGAACTTCTTCTGATTTCATCACTACTGTATAAGACTCTTCACTGTCTTCTTCTTCAATCTCTTACAGATAGTGTCATCTGTATTATTTCTATACTTAGTTCAGTCTAAATCTATCAGAAGTGTTACTTAAAATTATTATTATTCTACTCTCTTATAAAGCCTCTTCAAGGCATTATAATATGTCTTACAATCTGTCTTCTCTTACTTAAATACCTTCTTCTTCTCTCTCTTTAATCTGTGACAGTGCTCACGCGCCTTGATGATCCGCAGAACCGCAGAATGTTTGAAGAGAAATAATATAATTGATTTCAGTGAGTGTTGAAGAGAAGTGAAGATAGAAGAGATAATTAAAAATGATATAATAATGATAATAATAATAATAGTGATGATAATGATAATGATAATAATAATAATAATAATAATAGTAATGATGATGATAATAATAATAATGATAATGATGATGATGAAAGAAGAAGTACATTGAAATATATTACTGACTTACTAAATATAAAGAGACTTAAAGAAAATATTAACAGCTTTCAGTGATGTACAGAAACAGTTACAGTGTTATATAACAACATCATCTTCATTCAATACATGCACTGTTAATATTCTTTATATGCAGTTATTATATAATCTGTATCAGAGATACATGCAGAAAACAGATCTTTATTACTAGAATAAATGATTGCAGCAATTCTCTGTTTTTATATTATAAAGATAAGTTGTTCTCATTTCTTTCTTCTCTCTTTTCTCTTGTTCAATCAATCACTAATTTCAAGCTGATATGAAAACTATTAAAACACTCTCAGAAACTCTTAAATTGAAGAGTATAGACTAATTAAATTTTAAATACAGAAGAAATCAAATTATCTTCTACAGATTTAATTACTCATTTTCTCTTAAATAAAATAGCAGTTGTGTTTCTCTCTCTCTCAATTAAATGAAACATGACCTGTGAAAAGCAAGTATCATGTCAGATCATAATAATCAACACAGTCTCAGTATGCAGAGCTGTATATATACAGTGTGTACTGAACTGAGAGACTGCATGAGTTGCAAACTGACAGCAGCATCTCAGAGAGAGCTGTGCAGTGTGAGAAAGCTGCAACTCTCAGTTATATATATAGAGAGTGAATTACTGTAGTAAGTGTATATGCATTGAAGTAATACTTTTTGATAACACTCAGTCTCTGATATAATGAAAATAGAGTCTCTTTATGAGATTCATTTCTATCAGAAGTCAGAGAATCTTATATTTCTCAAGATCATCTTTATATACCTTGTCTATGAAATTGATGAGAGAAATCATCAATTGCAGTATTCTGCTCTTAATATCATTCAAGTGATAGCAGAGTTCACTTTGATCACACTTTTTAAGTGTATGTTTTCTAATTATTCACATTTATATAGATATATACTGATTATTTATTAGATAATGTTAAGATAATGACTTATTACAGCTGTGTTACTCTCACTGTGAGAGATACACAGTTAATAATGAATATTATAAAGACTCTGAGAAGTAAGTATTTTAAGAGTACTACAGCTCTGTGATCTTGATTTTTTTTATTTTTGTTTTTTGTTTTTTTCTTTTTCTTTTCTTTTTTTTTTTATTTTTCTTTCTCTTTCTGTCTTTTTTTTTCTTTCTCTTCTTTTTTTCTTTCTCTTTTTTTTTTTTTTATTGTGATTTTTTCTTGTTGTTTTATTTTTTATTTTTTTATTATTTTTTATATTTTACATTTTTTTTTAATTAAAATGATATTAATTATAATCTATGTTTAGAAAAGTAATGATATTTAATAATACTCTCTGTTGAATTTTCAATAAATGAGTACTATGTTATGATATTATGTAAGTGAGAAATGATTTCATAGTCTCATTTAATATCATTTTTAATAATGAGATCAGAATGAAAATGTGACTAAGAATTCAAATATATTCTTTATCTGAGACTAGATTTTTATTTGAAAAGTGAATCTGAGATCTTTAATATTTGAAATAACAGGATTTGAGATCAATGTGATAAACACAAATCATGATCAGAAGTAATGCTTTTAGACAATATAACAACTGTAAAGTTTGATTCTGATCTCAGACACGGTCACATGATCAGTCTAGATACTCAGAAGTAGTTATCTGAATTATAAATAATCTCTATAAAAGAAGTCTCAGAGAACTTATTAACTACTTATAAGATATTATTCTCTATATCTATAATAGAGAAACTCTTCAAATTTATAAATAAATTAATTTCAGTGAAGAATATTCTTAAGCATCTTCTATAGAACTAAGTTATTTTTCTATAAGAAATGCTTATTATCTGTAAACACTCTTGAACTGAGTCTTTAAACATAATCTTCAGTGTGGCGGGCTGCGCCCGATCAATCATATAGACTATTTCATTACACTTCATAGATTCTTTCATTCCCGATCGCCGATCCGCGGCCGCTATGAACGCACGTAGTGTATGCTCCGATTCTCAGTCATTCCTGATCACTGATCCTCGGCCACTACAAACATGTGTAGCATATGCTTCAATTCTCAGTCATTCCTGATCACTGATCCTCAGCTGCTATGAATGCATGTATATTCTTTCATCTCAAAGCTCCACC